TTAATTTTGTAACTTTAAAATCAGTTTTGAAATGCAAATTGATGCTCAATTTTTATTTGGACAAAATTACTGCAAAAGCTACTTCATATTCCATTCCTATTATAGCTAATTATAGTATATTGAATAAGAGAACAAACGATTGCAACTTGAATGGCAACTGATCAATTGTTTTCTTTGATAATGGAAAGAGAAATTTGATTTCGTCATTTTGACACCGAGAAATCAGTTTTTAAACAAAATTACTGCACAGATATTTCTTCATTAATTTCACTTTTGTAAGTGAAAATTTAGCTCATGAAAAAATGAAACTAAATAGGAAATATTCAAATTGACTACTGACATCCAAATTTCAGTGCAAATGATTTTTCTAACAAAAGGATAATAATAGGCTGATCTTTCAAATTCAATTTCTGTAAGTTTATCTTATGTTTGGGTAGATGACACGTTAAAAAAATGGAAAGTACAATGTGAGACATTTTCAAAAATTTTAGAAGCCCCAAAAAAAATATTGTCATCAAAAATTAGTTGGATAGAAGTCAATAAGTGGAATGAAGGCACCATGAACCAATCAGGAATTGAAACAAGAATGTGTTCAGTAAATTAAAATAATAATTCAATTTCTTTTTGTCTTAAAAAACTATGGAAGAATGACAAGATGAAATATTGATTCAGTTTTGAAACATTTTGAACAAATAATCCTTCATCATAACACTTTTAGAATGGAAATAAAATAGAAGTTAATGGAAGCTGTGATAACGATAACCAACTTTTTTACAGTTTAACTTTGTTCATGAAATTTCTTCAGTAAAAAATAGTACAAACAGTTTTATTACTTTATTAGATGAACGCTGAAGTATCGAGAAATAATATTTTCCTCTTAACTGTTTCCTTTTTATGTTACAATTAATAACAGATGCTTTAGAATTGTAATTACAAAACAGTCTTCATCTGTCTTTCTTGATATAAGGACCGGAAGAGCCGTAATGATCGGAACATCAAGACAATCCATATTAAAGATGGTTATAATTTAACTACACTTATCGGTATGATTCTTTGAAGAACTAAGATGAACGTGATAAGGGAAATAAATCCAAAAATGAACATTAAACAATATATTGCTCACTGTAATTAATTAGATCAAATATCATTATACTATGTCTTATCGCTATAATCCTATGGTACTTTTTTTTCCTTCATTACATAATTGTTCGAATTAATCTTGATATTTCTTGGTATCATTCCAGATGATTATATTGCATATATCGAGCTTCCATTGACAAGAGAGAACCCGAATTATATGGTTACATTTTTAAATTGCTGGCATTTATGAAATTTCCGGTTCTTTGGTAATCGAAAATATGTAAACTGTCCATTCCATCATCTATCATTTAAAAAGTAACAGTGTGAAAATTAAATCAGTACAAAAATCGGAAAAACAGAAGTTAAATATCATGACGCTTTACTGAATTTCCTTATTGTCCAAATAGCATCTCTTAGATTATTTCAAAGAACTTCTAAGAAATTTCGGGAGAGTTTGATGTGAAATTTAATTAGCAAAAGTTGATCTACACATATGTACAATGTTTTAAAGACGAAAAAAAAAGACTAACACTTCTTGAAACAAAATTTATGCTTGTTTAGAAAAATGAAAAAATAAAATAAAGACTAACAACTATAAGTGTCAACAATAAAATCATAGAAAATAAGGAAATAAGAAATTTTCTCTAAATTAATGCTAACTATAAATTAAGGTGAGAAATTATACCAAAGGATATAAAAAACATTTGGTTGAAGTCACCAGATCTCTTCGTTGAAAAAAATATTTTAAAACAGCAATTTTGGATTTTTTCACAATTTTACTGAAATATCTGCATGAAAATGTGTAATAAATGAAGTTCCGGTAGCAATGTAATTTTTTACTTCAACACTTGCAAAAAATAGAAGTAAAAGATGAAAACAGATTGAAATATTCAATTTTCGTCATCTCCAAAGCATCCCCATGAATCTTGACGATGAAAATTCTCGAACGATTTTTCTTTTTTGACCGTCCATTTATATGTCACTGGCATTAGTGTGTCGAGAAGATTTGAATAACTGAAGTTAAACTATTTTCCAGTAAATTTTAGGGAAAGTTTACATAATTTAATGTATTGTGATACATTTTTTTTTAAAAAGTAAGAGAGAATCAAGTATATAGAACAGATATGGAATGACGACACTTTATTTAATAATAAGAATCATTCTCGAAAAGTAATTTCAGTAACTTTTTAAATACTCTAAATCTTGCTTATAGAATAAAATAAATTGAAACAATTACTTTGGCGTATCTGGACAGAAATTTTCAGCATGATCTATTAATCCACAAATGCTGCATGATCCAATATTTTCGAGAAATGGATGGAACAATGTACGTTCCAATTTGATATTTGTTTCCCTCTGGAAGTAATAACACGTAATGTTTTTTTTTCTAATTAGTAAACTCTTTCCATACATATACTTTTTTTTTCAATAAAGGAAAGAAATTCATGAAAACATAGAAATAACTCATTGAACGAAAAAAAAAACAATTCAGGACGGTTGTCAATGTAAATGAATATACCGAATCAGAACGTCTAATCGGTACTTTTCTCGGCATATCAGTTGTTCTTATTTGCATTCTTCGTTGACGTGTTCTCGATCTTTGTTTTTGAACTTTGGGCATTATTTGTTGTCTCGAGCCTAAATGTGAAATAAAACTTTCAAAAAAAATAAGTATGCGTTGAAAAAAAACATTATAAATTTAACTTTTAAGGACGAAAGTTTAGGAAGAACTCAAAGATGTTAACGATCATTTTATTTAGACAATTTCTGATCCGTACTTACTTCTGGGTACTATTTTTTCGGTTTGCAAATTTAAATTTGATAAATCGCATGGAAGTGACTGACAGCGTTCCACATCAGCAACTCCTCCAAAATTAGCTGAAAGAGCAGAAAGAGCACATAGAGAAAACCATTTGATAAAAAACGAGATGTGAAAAGATAAATCTCATTTAAATTTCCAATAGTATGTGAGGGTTGATATTTAAGAACTGAAATTTGCCACTGTTTTCATTCAACTGAAAATCTCACTGCTGAAAAATGAGGAATGAAAAATGAATAATGTTGAATATTAATTTCTAGCATTGCCTATGAAGTATCAAAATTTTTTCCTTACCAAATTACATAAATTAAAAAAGACGGAATTCAAAATTCTATAAAACAAAAAAAAAAATGATAAAATTTAACCTGCACTAGCTCCAAAGTCTAACTCTTGATCGAAATTTCTTCGTACAGGAATGAATGGATTATATGCTATTTGCATTCGAAACAATTCTAAATTCCACAGTATTTATTCAGTCTTATCCAAATTTCTATCAGGGCAAAAAAAAAGAGAGAGAAAAAATGAAATGTTTAATTCTCATGAATTCATTGAAATACCTACCAAATGCCTCATCGCGAAGTATCGGAATGTTCACTGATTGACTGGAAGTACGTCGTTTTAGATAGGCCTGAGGAAGAAGATTGGAATACTTTGATGGTTTACTGCGCCATACACTACCAACCTCAGCTTGCAAATCAAATGGTAGTTCTTTTTTTTCGTTTAATTTTGATAAATCTGATGGCTATAATATCAAATATTACCACAATTTACTTCCTAAACATAGCATACTAATTCACTTCAGAGAATAACTCTGTTTTGAGCAAAATTTTAAAAAGCAATATCGTTCATCATCATCGTCTTGTACAACAAATAAAATCATTTCTCGAAAAATTGATCAGAAACTGAAACAAAATATACCACATCTTCATAGTCATTCTTCATTGCGGAATATGGCATTGGTCTGAATCCATCAACGCTCCACAAATACATTGGCCGTGCGTAACCGTACATACCTGGTCCAGATCTCGGCCTATTCCGCATTCTGCTACCACCACCCAAACGTTGAAAGTCAACAGTTTCATGTAAAAATTTCTTAAATTGACATTGTCCCCACGGTGTTAGTTCATCACGACGAGTCTAAAAATTATATCTTTGCTATGAATAAAAATTACATCTTTGCTATGAATAAAAATTACATCTTTGCTATGAATTATTACTCACGCAACTCATAGTATTACTCATTTAATGTTAAAAATTTGAAATGAAAAAAAATACTGAATGATAGCATCACCGGTTTGTACAGTAACAATCGGGTAGGGTTATGGACTTTTACTTCTGATGGACGAGATGGCGGAATACGATTTAAATAATATTCCATTTCCTCAAGAATATTCTCACAGGGACTCCATTGTTGTATCATCTCAAATTCAATGATTTCAAAAGGTGATTTCTTTGATATTTTGTTATAATTAGAGGAGTAAAAATTCAAATATGAAATAAGCTTAAAATTGCTTTTAAAAAAATACATGCCTATGATGTAAGATTCACTTAAAATAAAATGAAATTAAAAAAATAACTTCAAGAACAGGATCATTTGTTCGCAACACACACTTATGACAGACTTCATAAAACAATCGATTCATTCCTCGATTCAATTCATCATCCTGAAATTATCCGGAATTCAAATCTTTTAATGAAAGTATTTTGGAAAAAGTCAGTTCAAGATTAGCTTTCAAAACTGTAACCCTGGATATTCATGTTTAATAAAAAAGAACTGAACTAATATTTCGGAATCGATTATGAACAGTGAAATTTTGTAGATAATTTCAACAAAAAAAAAAAAATAAATTATTCAACGATGAAATTTTTTTTATTCTTTAATGCGTTTTAAGTATGTTCATTATGTATTCATAGAGAAGCTCTGAATGAAAAAGAGAGAGCGAGAAAAAGAGAAAAAGAAATTAATCAAAATTTTTTGGCAGATTTTAAATAGTTGTAGGACTAAAATAATCATTAGAATTAATAATAGGAAAGAATTACTCAAAAGCTATGTAACATGACTAAGAATTTAAAATCAAAATAGAGAAATTCTGTGAGGAATTTTGACAATATTTGAAATGAAAAGTGAGGGACCTTTAGACCAGGTTCATCCTTCCATTTCAATAAATTCAACATTGCTCTCGCATCGTCGGTGCCGATTATTTTAGAATTTGCCACATAAGCCTCTGCCCATTGTAAAATGCGATGTTTCGCTTTAAGTACTGCATTCTCATTCACTTCTCCTGATTTCTGCACCCGATTTACAACACGAAATAGCCATTTGACCATTTGTTGCAAACTTCTATCATCTGTAGAATAAATTTTATCTTTCCTTTCATTGTCACTCTCAGATAACTTAAATTTTTTTTAGTTTTTTTAATTTTCAAAACTGAATTCGCTAAATCATATTTATGAAAAGTTACAATTACTGCCGAAATTCTCGGGAGAATGTCGGCATAAGTTTGTGATTCGACTGTTCTTGCTGGAACGCATGAAAATTTTGAAGAGAACCAGAAATTCAATGAATGAAAATTCCGGGATTTTGTCGAAATGTAGAACGAAAGCACTTTCCAAATCCAAATTGCTAGCATAACCTGCGAGGAAAAAAGTATGAAAAATTAGAAAAAGTAATTTTTTTTTGAGAGTATTTAAAACATACCTAACGCATTTATCATTTTATTTCACAATTTTCATGTGAGAAATGCTGCTTCAATTAAAAAATGTTCCAAAAGTATACCGTCAACCAGAAATGCTAAACCGAAGAATGGCTTCGATCTAACACCAGCATAAGTAATGGGTAATAATTCTGAAATCCATTCAATCCATGCCTGTCTATCGGTCTCATCCACTGGTCTCTCTGGTACCTGCAATACGAGAAATCCTTTTTCGAAAATATTCCATAAATAATTTTGGATCCCAAAAACCAATTTCATTTAGGCTAAATTTTATTTGACATTTACGTTCCTAAATGGTAAGATATAAAGGTGATAAGTAATCATTTACCACAAAAAAACTTAGAATAAAATAATCACCATTCTAGCACTTAGTTAAGTGATTTATCAAAATTCTACAGCAATCTTATAAACCACTATAAAAAAGATGATAAGTAATGATAAAATAATCACCATCCCAGCAAAAAGAAATACTTACACTAACTACTCTCGCGGCAAGTAAATTGCGAAGCAGTATTTTTGATAAATAATAATCCACTTGCCAAGAAAATTCTTTTTTAGCAACTAATTCATCCAAATATCTTAGCGCATTTGGCGTAAAAGAATTTTCCGCCATCAAACGACTTAAACGATTTTCCAATCTCGAAAGAATTAAATCTACAAGAAGAAAAAGAAATATTGTTATAAAATTTCAGAATGCTGTTAGATTTCAAATTAAAAGAAATCACAATTAAACCTATGAAGAGATAACGCGTGCAACGGATTGTACTGCGTTGTGGAAAAGTATATTGCGAATAGAATGCACCAATTAATTGCATCACTTCCACTTCTGCAAATAGAAATTTCAAATGGAAAAGAGATTTGAATGCATATGA